CAATTTTATGTGCATTGCTTTTTTCACTGTTTTGAAAAAGGATAAATTTGAAGATTTTATAGGTTGGGCGGGGCTGAGCCGCTCAAAAAGTCGAAAAATCGGCGCAAAGTCGATTATCGCCAAAACATTGATCCCATTGTTTCTGTGCTTCCATAGTGAAGTCTGGATTATTGAGTCTTTACGTCAGTTTCAGCTGATGAATTTCCCGTTTCTAAGCTGTTCAGCGAATTTACAATCAGAAAATGTTTGCGTCCCTCTACGTCACGTGTTCCAAGTCTCGAAACGACTACTAGTTTTGTTTGTGCGTTGTCCTAGTTTATTGAAAGGTACTGCTCGATCACACTTTCGTAATAAACCTTTCAATTTTTTCTTAAAATTGACTGGCAACACTGAAAACGGAGATTGGATTTGAGCAGAATGCATCAGCATCGTTCAGAATACTCCGGAAATTAGCAACTATTTCTGCATTCGCCCAATTTTTTTCTGAACGACTTCAGCGAAGTGTAATGCAGCACAGATCCATCAGATTGTAAAGTGCACCCGAATGGTGTGAAGCTAAAGTCTGACAGGGTAATATCCATAAACTAGCTGGCAAACCCGGCTCCGCCCGGCCCTGTCATTATTATATTCGTAATCAGCATGCTCGATTACCCCCCTGTGCCAACTCCCAGCCCTGTAGCTCCAATTTTGCAAAAATTCGATAAAATCGATATCGATCGATAACGAAAAGTAGCCTTTGAGACGCTCCCTGCCCCGAAGTATATGTGTGCCACGTTTGGTCCAAATCGATTCAGAAATAAAAATTTCTATTCCGCACATACGTACAGACATACAGACATACAGACATTCAGCTTTATATATAAGACTAGTTGGCAAACCCGGCTTCGCCCGGGCCTGTCAATAATATATTTGTAATCAGCATGCTCGATTACCCCCCTGTGCCAACTCCCAGCCCTGTAGCTCAAATTTTGCAAAAAATCGATAAAATCGATATCGATCGATAACGAAAAGTAGCCTATGACACGCTCCCTGCCCCGAAGTATATGTGTGCCAAGTTTGGTCCAAATCGGTTCAGAAGTAAAAATTTCTATTCCGCACATACGTACAGACAGACATACAGACATACATACAGACAGACATTCAGCTTTATATATAAGATTAGGTTGTTGCAAAAATAATGTCCATTTTGCGAATTTTCAATTTGGAAGGTTATAACTTCGCTCAATTTTCATATTTTTGAATGCAGTTAAGATCGTTAGAAACAGCAATCCTTTCGCAATTTATCGCGCACCTGACCGCACTGATATTGCAAACGGGAAGAAAACCAGGATGAGATAAGATCAACTCCGGTCCGCCTCGAGAGAGATGCCCTGATGGGGGGTTTACTACGGGCCTTTGTTTTGCCCTAGTCACTCTCGCACTCATGCTTACATTCTGGAGAGAAAATTCGAATTCACCCAGAGCAAAGGCTTCCAAAAGCGAGATTTTCGAAGATTTTCTCAAAATTTGGCCGGAAAAGTGGATCATATCGTGCTAAAATTTTGTTTTGCACCAGTCATCGCTGTACAGCTTCCTTTCGCAACGTCACTCCCGCACTCACGCTTACAATCTGGAGAGAAAAATCGAATTCACCCAGAGCAAAAGCTCCCAAAAGCGAGATTTTCGAAGATTTTCTCAAAATTTGGCCGGAAAAGGGGATCATATCGTGCTAAAATTTTGTTTTGCACCAGTCATCGCTGTACAGCTTCCTTTCGCAACGTCACTCTCGCACTCACGCTTACAATCTGGAGAGAAAAATCGAATTCATCCAGAGCAAAGCTCCCAAAAGCGAGATTTCCGTAGATTTTCTCAAAATTTGGCCGGAAAAGTGGATCATATCGTGCTAAAATTTTGTTTTGCACCAGTCATCGCTGTACAGCTTCCTTTCGCAACGTCACTCTCGCACTCACGCTTACAATCTGGAGAGAAAAATCGAATTCATCCAGAGCAAAGCTCCCAAAAGCGAGATTTCCGTAGATTTTCTCAAAATTTGGCCGGAAAAGTGGATCATATCGTGCTAAAATTTTGTTTTGCACCAGTCATCGCTGTACAGCTTCCTTTCGCAACGTCACTCTCGCACTCATGCTCAATCTGGAGAGAAATATCGAATTCACCCAGAGCAAAAGCACCCAAAAGCGAGATTTTCGAAGATTTTCTCAAAATTTGGCGGAAAAGTGGAAGCAAAGTGAATACTGAAATCGGATGTGAGCAGATCAAATGGTATGCTTCTATAACTAACTTTGCAACAATGACCAAGCTCGCAATTTCAACGCCCTTGGCACGCGCTTGCGTCTTTCAACACACCCATTGCAGCAGCAGAGCGTACCCTGCGTGTCGTGGCCTCTCGTTCTCGCTAGGACCTCTGCGTCCTCTTGTCCTCATGATCGCACCGTCGCGTCCCTACACAATAAGGCCCCGTTCGGCAACTGGCGTCTATTCAAAACACTCGTTGAAGCATACATGTGGGCGGACCATCCTCGCCGTCTCGTTTTTTGGGATCGGGTTTATATTATAGGAGAGGATAGAGAAAACGCTTGATGTCTACATCGTCGGGGGAGTGCGACGAGACCGGTCTGACCTCTTTCACGGATGGAGGTCGCGCTCTGAGAGCAACCAGCGTGCTATATTCCCAAAAATTTCCAATCAGTTTCACTATTTTTCATTTTCTCCTCATAATGAGCAGACATGACAGAAGACCATGTTATGAGAGAGACCTGGGTATAAATTTTCTTCATGTCCGAAGATGGAAAGTCAAGAAAATTTGTAGTAGCAATCACTCAGCCAATCCTCTAAACAAAGCCCCGATAACACTAAAAAAACTAAGGCTCGCGCACCCAAAGTTACTTGAAAACTTATTCAAGCTTCATTTTCTAAACTTTCAGTGAAAAGTAAATTTTGGTGTACTTTACAAAATTTGGGCCATCTTACTAAGCAAGACAATTGTCCAATTATTCTACAATTGGCAGATGTCCTGACCTCTTTTGAAAAGAAATCCGGAGCTTATGACCCTCTCCGGTTTTCGTAGAAGTATTTACTCAGAGATAGTCTTTGAGAACACTTTAGGTCCTTTCTCGGATAGTCCAGGATTAATCCAAAAAATCTAATCCTCAATTCAATTTTTTCGGGTCTTTCATCCAAAGGTGAATGCAATTGACCGACGACGACGATTCGCACAACTGTTTAAGCATTGCAATGGTGACTGTGCTGATGATATCGAAGATCGGCTCTGCTTGCACGGACAACTGGTACGAGTTGAACCGTGTACAAGCGCAAGAATTGGTAGGTGTCCTCTTGGGTAAAGTTTGTCGGCGGCATACATCCTAAATTCCTAAATCCTTCTGATAACTCGCCCAGGGCATTTACTTTTTGGTTGGGTACTGGTATCAACATGGAAGTCAAAGCTTTATGTATACTGGAATCTGATGTTTAGAGAAAAATATTGAAAAAGGCCTTTGAAAGTGTTATGTGCCATCGACGTCGAATAAAAATGTCAAATGCTTCGTATAACTTTACTAGAGGAAAAACTGCAATCAAAGAATAGTTGTCACTACTATTCTTTGTTATCAGAATGTCACTGTAAAAAAATTACTCTTCATTGTTATTGCTGATGCGAAAATGTGTTACGCACACCATCAAAAAAGTGAAAAACAGAATTATATTTTCTTAAGTAGATTCTCGAAGACATTTCCAAACACAAATGTATTAATCACATACTACGCCTGCACTTTACCCACACAGTGTTGGTAAGTAATTCCAGAAGCATCAAAAACGTTTTCTTAGACTTTTCCACAATAATAAAATATTTTTGTAAGAATCTCTCTGAACATAACAGCATAACATAACACTACCTCCATAACTACTCGGAAGAGTGATTAGGTAAATTCTACCATGGAATGAGAGAGATCGATCAAAAGGGAGTGGAATGACTTGCTTAGGTGGAACAGAACTTACCTACCCGAGATATTCTCGCACCTCGTGATTGTGAGTCTGGAGGGTATAATTAGGCATAGCGAGCTCGCTGAATGCAGATGCTCCTTAGGATACAGCGCTAAGCTAAGCCCCGCCCACACATTGCACCTTTTTGGCATAGAACCAAGACATGCCAGAAAACCCGGCGATACCTGAGGACATCGAAACTGGCTCAGCGCCAGAATATGCTAGAAGGAGGGCTGCGAGGCTCAAAATGGAGCGTACACATTGATCGTTTGGTAGACTAGCTAAGCTTCTTAGTCTTTTATCACTAAGATTACATCCTCAGGGCATGTTGTTCTCACTAGAAAAAGGATCATTCTTAGGCTGCGTTCATACTGATCCCGAAGTCCGGGAGCAGTTCCAGCACAGCGCTTGAAATGAGCGCTTGCTGAAACTGTTCCCGGATTTCGAAATCAGTCTGAACGCAGCCTTAACGTTCCGAGAGAAACAGTGATTAAGCAGTTTTACATGCGTCCTATGGCATGCTTCACTTTTTTTGTCGAGATTTTTAAAGCTAAAAGTCGATTCACCAAAGCAAAATTTCGGCTCTGCAAGAAAAGACAGCGCAAAACCAATAGCATATTTGAAAAGAGCGCCTGAGAAAACCCTTAAATCCGTATTTTAATTGAAATTGAGCAGATAGTTGCTGAATATCACTTTAGTGATTCTGTTGAATTCTCGGTTTCATGATTGATGGATGGGGCGGGGCTTAAAATACACCCAGACTATGCTCTGTACACTATGCTAATTGCGATCTGACTGCTCATGATACCTAAGGTACGCTGCGGCAAGTCTTTCGAGAAGGTAAGTCCCCGCACCTCTTGCTTAGTTGACATTATCAGATCAGATCATGAAATCAGATCAGGAGACCAACGCTAGTGACTGAATCAGATTCTGGTTTAGTGTTGTTAAGCTGGTACAGTTGAGCTATGCAACTGATTGAATCGAAAAGATGGAAATGCTTAGAAATAACCATCATACACACCACATGTAAGGGCAAATCATCTTTATTTAGTGTACTATGACTGTCTATAAAGCATTTTTTCCTTGGGATTCTTTTCTCCACATTTGTTTCCTCATGCAACTGATAATAATCACGTAAGTGCATGTCCTACTTTTTGCCTAGGACTAGTTCATCGTTCTGCTTTTCCTTCAGCTCGGTAAGGAAGGGCTTTGACTTCTCCAATGAGTAGATGTCCCTGAAAATTCTATCATTTAGTTTAACTTTTATTCTTATGGGATAGACATCTTACCTGTTGACTGTGACTCCGCAGATTTGCTCCATTTGTCCAAACTGTTTCATCGTTGGCTTCGTAAACGTACCGAATGGACGGAAATCGTCAAAGTTAGCTGGTGTCTCACCGCTAGGTCCTCCACCATTGACATTCCAGTACCTACATTTTGCAAATCTGTGATGAATTTCTCAAATTTTCCTAAATCAAGCAACCCACCATAGCATGGCTCCCTCAACCGCAGCTCCCCTGATGATCTGATTCCAGTCGTAAACACTTGTGTAGAAACCAATTCTGACCCCATAATACTAGATCATGAAATTTCATCTTGAAAAATTTGCCAAAAAAATCTTCCAATTTTTTTACCTTAGCCATGGTTATGATGTCATTGAGGAAGTAGATATTTTCGTGGCTGTTGGGTCCCCAGTTAACAGGCGAGGTCACCTGAAACTCATTTATCGTACAAATAATTTTCTGAAAAAAGGCAGTTAAGGATAGCTTACCTGCAACCACACCATCTTCACATCAATTTTTCCATTCTTCAGCCCCTCATAAAGTTCTCTGAACTGCTCTCCACCCTTTTTGCTTGAACCGGGTAATGGTGTCATAAACACTTCTGTTCCAAGACCAGCTAAAATATAAAGATGAAATCACTGATGTCGAAGTTCCGAGACTAGTAATTGTATGATAATGTATATAATTGATTACCTTTATTAGCGTTGCGGATGTTACTAACAGCATTGATATCAAATTTTCCATTATCTGCAGGATCATACGCTCTAAAAATAAGCATTCAAATGTGAGATTGCAGGTTTAAGAAGAGTATTACCTTATAATGGCTGCAGAGTAACCAGATTTCTTGAGACAAATGAATGTAGAAACCGTAAAAGGCCGATCGAGGTCCACGGCATAAGCGTAGGTTGTGGCAGCAGCCTATAGAACATGCATGTTTTACTCAGCTCAAGAGTAAAGTTTTCTTTAAAGCATCTCGGAAAAATGATGTTTGGCTTGCCCTACCACAAGTGGCTTCGGAAGGATGGCTTTAGCATAGGAGCAGGCAATAATTAATGGAAAAATGAGAAGGGTAGACATAGCTGAAAAGTCCCCTGTTTAGATGAATTAGTAAGATAATTCAAATGTGAATACAAACCTTTTGTTTGTGTATTTATGTAAGAGCCAAGATGCTCTGACTCATTCGCTCCATTCTGTCTATTTTATAGATTGTCCTTATCAGTGTCGTAGGTGGACAAGTGCATGGAAGACATGAAGGGCCTGAATTTTTTTTGGGAGATTGACGTGATGTCTCCAACTACTTACAAAAAAACTGTTTATCAATAAACACTTCTTCCGACAACCTGTTAGTAAAAACTATATCAAGAGAATATTGTGCTGATCAGATAGAAAAATCAAGTACTGGAGATTTTGAGGTAATAAAAAAGTTATGGGTCATCTCTATGTCACTGTTTTGCACTACATCATAAGTTATCGTGAAAAGTCAAAGCTGATATAGTGCATTTGAAAACTGGATAAGAAACGCGAAATAACAAAAAGCTATGGATGCTAACCCTCTTCTTTATTTAAACTTCAGCGAAGATGTGAAAAAAATTACTCAGAAAGTTCTACTAAAATGTTCACTTTTTGTAGGAGTCAGTAATATAAAATGAAAAAATGGAAAATTCACTGAATCACTTTAATTTCCAACTCAAGTTAAACAATCAAATTTGGATTGGATCCACAGGACATCTCCGTCACAAATCAAAGGGTGACGTTGGCGCCGCCTTCACATGTCTGATAACACCTTCAAATGACTTCAAAAAAAATTGTCTAAGCCACTGCCTGTCCACCTCCGCTTGTGATATTGCATTTATAAGGGCATCAGAAATGCCTCAGTCAAGCGGTTCTAATCCGTCAAGACATACAGTTAAGGCTGCAAAGTAGCCAAGTTCAAATTACTAATATAGCCCAAAAATGCAAAAATACCTCAATCTCTTATCTCTGGTATCACTGTGCCTGGTAAAAGCAGCACCTACATCCAATCAGGTAGGTTTCGGTGATTTTTAACTACAAGCACAAGACAGCTAATGCCGAACGACTATTTAGACTTTCTATAACTACGCATATGCGGTAGATTTATCAGGACCAGTACCTTATAACACATTTACCTGCATCAAATCAAATGGATATAGCGCTGTGTTTACAAGGTACGCTTGCAGCAAGTTCTAAAAGATTTCACAAGAATAAAACTCAAATTTAGGGCCTATGATCCTTCCGGTATGGGCATGTTCGATGTTAATGCTGTCAACAACATTCGAAGTGCATATCAAGGTAAGCATAAACTATAGTAATTTTTTTGTTTTTCCTTCTCAACACTCAAACTTTAGCTGGTCTTGGAACTGAAGTATTCATGGCACCTTTGTTGCGCTCTATGAAAAGAGGCAGTGAGCAATTTAGAGAACTTTATGATGGGCTCAGATATGGCAATGTCCAACTTAAGATGGTCTGGATACAGGTAGGTGAAAAATAAATTCGAAATTAATATTTTGTATGTAAATCACTTATTTAGGTTGCCTTTCCTGTGAACTGGGGACCAAACACTCAAGAAAACATTAACTTCCTCAATGACATCATCATGGCAGCTAATGTAAGTCATACCAAATTTTCTCCCAGGCAACTTTTCAACTAACCAGATTTCAGTCCTATGGTATTGCTATCGGAATTTATACAAACGCCTATGATTGGGATCAGATCACAAAAGGGGCCAATGTAGGGAACGCCATGCTATGGTAAGGATAGCCTTTTAAACTTTAGATCACTTGGATAATATTTCCAAAAATTTTCAGGTACTGGAACGTCTACAGAGCAGGACCAAGTGGTGAAACCCCAGCGAATTTTGATGATTTTCGCCCATTTTCCAGCTTTTACAGACCAACGGTGAAACAGTTTGCACAAAAGGAGAATGTGTGCGGTATAGTAGTCAACAGGTACGAAAATTTATGGATATTTTTGCAGCCTAAAGAAATAATATATTAGGTTGTTGCAAAAATAATGTCCGTTTTGCAAATTTTCACTTTGGAGGGCTATAACTTCGTTCAGTCTGCATATTTTTGAATGCGGTCAAGACCATCAGAAACAGCAAACCATTTTTAATTTAGCGCGCACCTGCACATACTGATGTCGCAGATGGGAAGGAATGAACGCGTCAAAAAACTGGAAGTTTTTCTCTTGAAGACCTCGCCTTTGAGAGCTTACAACTCCCTTCAAGTTTTGTTCGTATGGCTGGCAATTAGCTAATTTTGTAGCAGCAGGCCATGAGTTTATGCGTGTATAAAAAAGACTACAACGAAAGAGTTCTGCGAAAAAAAGATAAAAATTCAAAAAAGTACACTTTTTTGAGCCTACTTGTAAGTGGCTTGTAAGTGCCAAATTGTAAAAATGCTAAATTTTTCGCACACTGAATAGCTGAGTTTCTCTTCAAATATTGCAGTTAAGGTGTGCTAACCTCAAGCTTAGTGAAATGTGCGAAGCTTTGGCGACTGCCTTAATTATGAGAAATTTCTGATCCACAGAATGCCAGCAGCGAGTATCTATTACGAGGCGTCAATTTCTCAGTCAAGATATCTCCAAAAATCCACATAAGCACGCAGTAGGTAAACAATCTTCATCCAATACAAATGCTATATTTTCAAGAGAATTCGTTTATTTGCTCTTGAATTGTGGTCAGGAAAGTGAAAGCTATGAGATTCCAATTTTGAGTGAGGATGCGCAAAATGCTGGGGAAATTCCTACAGATGACGATAGCACCCTAATTCCACCACCGTTAGAAAGTACATGAAAAGAGCTTTCCAATGATGTGCAAATCCTATATCGAAAAAGAAAGTTTGATGGGAAAAAGTCGCTTGAAATATAGGCTTCGAAAAACGGACATTATTTTTGCAACAACCTAATAATTACAGAGACGCCTACACAATGAATACAGTGAAGTATGGCAGTAAACTGCTGCAAAAGTCGGATGGAAAGATAGTGGTTGGCCTTCTTGGAAGCACTATGGGATTTGTACAAAGTGTATAAACAAACATTGTAAATGAATAGAGCAGATACTAATAAATCTTCTGAAATGTCTTTTTTGTATAGAAGTGGATTTAAGCAAGGACGGGAACAAACATTTTTGTGGTTAATCAGCATAGAGTAAATAAGATTGCGCTCTCAATGACGATTGCAATACATACCGGGAAGAGGAGGAATTCTGTTAGCGTACTTCTACGGCACGAAAAGCAGATACCAGAGTATTTGAGCTTCTTGAAAGAATTTCAATACAAAGTACCGCTTGCGCTACCTAATTATGACATAACAAGGTAAAGCCTACCTTGGATATATAGAGTCATGTATCACATAAAACAGTGCGGTAAAAATAAAAGTGGTAAAAGAAACCACAGTCTTTAAAGGCAGTGTCCGGGCAAAAACTCGATTTTGAGATTTTGTGCTTACTTGGACCTATTCGCTACGCTGAATCCGAAAATGCACATTGGAGAGCGCGAAAACGGCGAAAAACGGCTCTAACACGTGAGGGAATCAGCAGGTGGGCGGGGCTTTCCCCAGTGCGATTTCACGCTCCCAGCTCCCGGAGGGATTTTCTCAATTCCGCTAGCCGTTCTAACATCGCTACCGGCCAAGTGCGAATGATTGACTTGAAACCGGAAGCGAGAAGGTCGCTCCGGAAGCTGGGAGCGTGAATTCACAGTGGGGAGGACCCCGCCCACCTGCACATTTCCTTCCTGTGTTAGAGCCGTTTTTCGCCATTTTCGCGCTTTACAATGTGCATTTTCGGATTCAGCGTAGCGAATAGGCCCAAGTAAGCACAAAATCTCAAAATCGAGTTTTTGCCCGGACACTGCCTTTAAAGGCAGCGTCCAGGGAAGTCTGGACGCGTGGGGATCTCATGTGGACAGGAATTTTGGGGCCCTAACTAAGCCACTGCCCAACCAGCAGCTCAGATAGTGCTATAATGGCTGAGATATTCCCCTTGAAAACCGGACCCCACGATCGTATTTCGCATGGATTCATGGCCCAAAGCGTGGATCCTGGCGCGGAACTGCTATGAATCCATGCGAATACGATCGCGGGGTCCAGTTTCGAGGGGAACATCTTAGCCGTTAGAGCACTATCTGCGCCGCTTGGGCAGTGCCTTAGTTAGGGCCCCAAAAATACTTTCCACGTAAAATCCCCATAGGTCCAGATTTGCCTGGACGCTGCCTTTAACTACAGAAACAAAACATGTGGGACGAAGCTCCGGATACTAAGTGTGAGGATAGACCTATAAAAATGATTGTGAATGAAGAAAATGAAGCGAATGATAACTTGGTAAGTAATTCCAGAAGCATCAAAAACGTTTTCTTAGACTAATCCACAATAAGAAAGTATTTTTGTAAGAATCTCTCTGAACATAACAGCAAGTCATCTCACATAATCGGTGATTGCACTAAATGAATGAGCTTCGAAAATCCCTGAATGATGCAATTCAGTTAAATCCAAGGACTGCGCCGAAAACTTGAGCAAGAGCTGCATGCGGCAAGTTTAACTCGTCGAAGAATATATCAGCCTCGACGACGTTATCATGGCATCCAGTCGTCTCATAGTGATCAATGTGGCAGAGTTTTGTTGGGATCTACGTTCAGAGTTAGATGCCTCTGCGGTTCTTCGTTTCTTTTCTGCTCGCCTGCTCCTCCACATACCGCGCACTACCTCGCTGCACCCCACCTCGCGTTCCACGGGACATTCGGCTCTGGTACCCTTTCTCCATCGTTTCAAATTCCATCCCTGGCAAGTCGTATATCGTGTAGCTCTTGGTTTTTACTTATACGCTAAGCTCTTATTTTTGAGTTGAACGACGAATTCATCAAAAGCCTTCTTTTCGAATTCCTCTCATTTCTCCTCCACTCTAGGCCTTGTTACGCGGTATTTTGTGCTCAAAATCTTGACTATGTCTACGATGTAAACAACATCGTCGGGCTTATTTGTTTGCGAATATTACAATGAAAGGCTGCAAAAACTGAGTTTTGTTCAAAGTTTCTTGAAACGAAAACGAATTCATTTTCTTTTGCTTTGAGGTTTCTTACTCATAATGATGAACGGGACTGCACAGACAACGTCGTCGGAAACGGAGTAACTAATAACAAATAATAGATAACCAATAATATTCCCAATAACCTCGGAATAATACGAGGTTGAAAATTTGAAGGACGCGCATAAAAATTCAGACAGGAGCGTTGATGTGCATGGTGATTTTATAAAAACAACATTTCGTTTTCATGACTAATCTTTTCGTGTTTATTTTCTTTTTAACAATTGTCATTTCCAAACCGTGATTCTTGAGATAACTGCCAAAAAAGAAATTAGCTTTTCCTTGCCTCCCCGAGTTGTGCACGGCTGGTCCTGAAGCCAAAACCTGCGGAAAGCCGCCAAAAGAAAGATTTCAAATTGCAGTGTTTTGCCCTTTTCAACAGTTCCTTTTGCTTGTGCTGTTCTGTTACAATTCTCTTCTTGAGTTTTCTTTAGATAATCTTCACTTTTTACGGAAAGGAAATGCAAATAACTTTTAATTTTGAGGCTCTCTAAGGCAAAACGGAATCCATGAACAAAAGTTTCACAAACTGAAGGATCTTTGCAGCCTAACAAAAACCGAGAGTAAAATATATATAAAGTGCGGCACTTTCGGGATCCGTAGCTATTTGGAAGAGTGGGAAGAGTGATAAGGTATATAGTATCATGGAATGAGAGAGATCGATTGAAAGGGAGTAGAACGGCTTGATTGCAGATCAATAGATCAGATCATTAAATTAGGCTAGGAAATCCACGAGAGTGACGCAT